GCGCCTTGGGCTGTTCCGACGGCCCGCGCCGTCATCCGCTCGCCAGTTCGCTTCGACTCTGCCGTAACCCGAAAACTCGTCCGCGCTCAGCTCGTAAAGCAGACCATCTCGGCTGCTCTCTTTTCATAGAATCACGGAATGGTTTGGGTTGGAAGGGACCTTAAAGATCATCCAGTTCCAACCCCCCTGCCATGGGCAGGGACACCTTCCACCAGCCCAGGTTGCTCCAAGCCTCATCCAGCCTGGCCTTGGAAACTCCCAGGGATGGGGCATCCACAGCTTCTCTGGGCAACCTGTCCCAGTGCCTCCCCACCCTCTGCAGGAAGAATTCTTTTGTGGAATCGCAGGAGGTTTTGGGTTGATGGGACCTTCAGAGATCATCCGGGGTCCAGCGTTCTGGCTGTGGGCAGGGACTTTTCCCACTAAAGCCCCGTCCAACCTCGCCTCCATCCCTTCCCAGGATGGGGCATCCACAGCTGCTCTGGGCAACCTGCTCCTGCATCTCGCCACCCTCCTTCTTTCAGGAGCAGTAATTAGGGCCGGGCCTCCCTCGAGCGCTCTTCCCTCTGGGAGGAGTTCCTCGTGCCGGCTGACGCTCCGGGCACCTCTTCCAGGCTTTAGTTGGGTCCCTCTGCCTGCCTGTTTCTTTAAACTGCTCTGATCCTATTAGGTCGTGTCTGTCCGCAGGGAGCGAGGAGGTAATCCTCCCGCTGGAAGCGGCGTTGGCGTTAAGCCGGCGCTACGCTTGATCTTCAGTCAAAAGGCAGAGAACAGACGGGGCGGTTTGCTTCACTCGCTTTCTTTCCAGCGTTGAACTGGAAACGCCCACGGAGCAAACCCTCTCCCCGGGCTCCGCCGTGGGTCCCCTCAGCTCTTTCCTCTGCCGCTGACCCGTTTTTCTTGCTCCCTGCCCGGCTGGGGGGCAGACCGTGACCTCCCTCTGCCTTCGCGACACGGTCGGCTTGTGGTTTGTGCCCACAGGCTGCCTGTGACGGCGGCAGGGGAGGCGTGGGCGCCTGCGGTC